ATGATATATTGAAAAAATTCCAAATGCATCATCTAAATATATTTTTGTCATCTTCCAAGCAAAAGAAGCTTGAACTATTTCAAAAGAATGCTTGGGAAATTGCATAATGATAACCTGCTTATGTTAGCAGCTTGATGGCTCAGTGGACAGAATGCTGGACCTCAAGGAAGATCTGAGTTCAAATAGGACCTGAGATACTTACTAGCTGTGTGACCCCGGGCAAGTCACTTAACCCTGTTTGCCTCAGTTTCCTCATCTGTAAAATGAGCTGGAGAAGGAAATGGCAAAGTACTCCAGTATCTTTGCCAAGAAAACCCCAAACTGGGTTATGAAGAGTTGGGCATGACTGCACAACAATCTGCTTATATATGGAACATCTAAACATGCAGCAAAGATAAGAATTGGGCTTTACATTACTCTTATGGTTAAAAAAAGGTAAAATAGATTTCAAAAATGTTGTTTACTATAATTAATTTTATTGTTACCCCCTTTTCTGCTATAGAATCAACTCATATAGGAACCTGGTTAACCTAATTAAGTCAATTCACACTAAGATGTAGATGACTAATGGTTTGCTCAAGGGTATTTGGATTTTAAAACAGGATTATATGCCCTTTCCCCCCAAATCCATAATTAGTATAATTTCAGGCAAAGGGAGGTGAGGGTTGTTGACCTTTTAAATAAGACTCAACCTGCTGGCTGTAATACTCCTAAGTGTGGGGGGGGGGCGGAGAAGGAGGAGGGAGGAACCAGATTAAAATGTAATTGGGAAACATTTACAAAAAAGAAATATAAATAAACATAGATAATATATTTTTCTAATATGCAGTTTTTAAGAATCCTTACATATTGTTTAGTTTCTATTTGAGCCTGATACTACTGTCTTAAATCATAAAGTGAGGAAATTAATGACCTGGTTATAAATTGGATAATATATGTGCATACACACAAATATTTAAGACATTCGTTGTTTATTAGGGCTGACTCTACTTTTGACAAACTGGCAATGTACTTGGTATTATAAAAGAGAATGGAATGAGTGATGGTAGAAAGTCTTCTCAGATGACAAGGGCTCTCTTGTAAGCATATTACCAAGGGGATTCCTGTACTGGGTGCAATTAGGTGAGCTCAAAGGTCTCTTCTCCCTCTAAGATTCAACAATTTGATGGAAATTGAGGGGATGCCCATCAATTGGGAATGGCTGAACAAGTTGTGATATATGAATGTAATGGAATACTATTGTGCTATAAGAAATGATGAGCAGGCAGACTTCAGAAAATCCTGGAAAGACTTATATGAACTGGTGCTGAATGAAATGAGCAGAACCAGAAGACCATTATACACAGTAACAGTAACACTATATGATGATCAACTATGATTAACTTAGCTTTTCTCAGCAAAACAGTGATCCAAGACAATTCCAAAAGACTCATGATAGAAAATGCTATCCATATCCAGAGAAAGAACTATGGAGTCTGAACGCAGATCGAAGCATACAATTTTCACTTTTTAAAATTTTTTCATAGCTTTTCCCTTTTGTTCTGTTTCTTCTTGCACAACATGACTAATGTGGAAATATGTTTACAAGATTGTACATGTATAACCTATATCAGATTGTTTGCCATCTAGGGGAGGAAGGACAAGAGGGAAAGAGGGAGAAAAAATTTGGAACTCAAAATTTTATAAAAAATGAATTTTGAAAACCATCTTTACATGTAATTGGAAAAAAAGAAAATACTATTTCCAAAAAAAAAAAAATCTACAATTTGATCTAATGGGAATTGTAATTATCTCCTATAGCAAGTTGAGCTTATTAAGTGCCACTTGTGTGCCAAGCAATGTGCACTGGGGAGACAAAGAAAGGCCAAAGGCAGTACCACCTGTTCTCAAGGAGTTCACAGTCTAATGGAGTTCCTAGGCTAATGATGCATATGTAGCCAAATGAGAATCTGTTGGTGCTAAGGACCAGAGAGAACTATAGATTTCTTTTATTGTTGTTGATTTAGTTCCTTTTATTTATTTATAGGATGAAGTGCTACTAAAACTAAATTCAAGAACATTTATGAAGCATTTACTACATTCAAGACACTATTCACATTGTAAACTAAGTTTGTTCCTGAAAAATGCTTTTAGATGTTTAAATGCCTGAAGGGAATTGGTTTTCCCCTTTCTCTGAGAGTCTTAAGCTGTGACTCATTACCAAAATCAGTGTTTTCCTCTTTGAAACAAAACTCCCACTAATATGTTTTTGGGGCTTTTCCAAATAAATAAGGTATTGAATAGGTAGATCCCAGAGAAAGATGTGTTATACCATATCAGGGTAAGTAATGAGAAGGGCTGCTTGCTCCCTCTTGGAATAAGCTTTGGTCTTTAAAAATAAGTCAAAGTTACTGAAATAGGCCATGTGAGAGAGTTGAAATAGAATATAATGCAACCTCTCCAGTTCTGTAAAGGACTGTCCCAAACAGGGGAGAGATTGCATGCTTAGATGAACTCCAAATACACCTTCCTTAAGGCTTTATTTTCCAATAAACTGAAAGTGTGGTCTGGCTCTGAGACTTAACTCCATCTGCCAATAACCCTTACACAGATCGAAGGTTAAAATAACCTCGAGGACTTGGAAGGATTTGTCTGGTTTTTCAAAATGCTGTCACTAAGCCTTCCCAGTGTCTCCAGTGGACAAACTCAGAGAGCATAGGCTCTCAGAATTACAAAATTTTAGATTTGGAAGATATCTCAGAGGTCATCCAGTTCAACTGGACCTGGAAAAGAACCCTATCACAACACACCCAACAATTAGTCATCCAACCTTTGCTTAAAGACCTTTAGCAAACGGGAACTCAGTAATTCCCAAGGAAGCCCACTTTGGGGTAGTGATAATTGTTCATTCAGTTCACTCAATCAGTGTGCTAAGGAGTTATGCTAAAGCAAAAAGAAAGGTAGTCCCCGCCCACAAGGAGCTTACATTCTAATGGGGGAAGACACACATGGAAGATGAAAAGCTGGAGGAGTGAAAAAGGTACCTGCATTCAACTTTCATCAAAACGTGGGTGAAGCTAAAACATAAGTGCTCTAGGTGGATCCAAGACCTGAGTGGACCCCAAATAAGACCTGGGAGGGGTTCAAGCATCTCCACCCCCCTGCCAAAGATCCCCAGCTTCTCAGGAGGGTACCTAAGGTCCCAATGACACACACACACACACACACACACACACACACACACACACACCCCTAACTTTCAACTCTGAGATATTTTTATTACATTGTTTTTATTTATTTATTATATTGTTATTTGACACTTACTAAGCTCCACTTGGCTGAGATGAGACCAGATTCCTGCCCTCAAAGCACTTACAGCATATATGAGGATAAGACACATATACAGATAGCTATAATACAAAATTACTCACAAGCAAAATTATTCACATTATGGCTTCATGGAGATGGCTTATTTATACTGTGGTCGAGAGCTTAAGCGGTCTGATCAATTCAGTGACTATTATTCCAGAGGTTCCATAAATGAAACATGAAACCCACTTCTGGATGAAGTGACATACTCAGGTTGCACAATGAGACACACAATTTTGAACATGGTCAAAATGGGAATTTGTTTTTGCTGACTATGGGGATTTGTTACAAGCTTTCTTTTTCTTTTTTCTTTTCTTTTTTTTACCTTTTTTCAGTGAGTGTGAGGTAAAAGATGAGGAGAGAAAAAATATTTCCATTAATTGAAAAAACTAAATTAAATTAAAAAGAACCCCAAGACTTTGGTATCAGAGGACCTATGTTTGAATCTTCCCTTTGCTTGTCACTCCCCATGTGACCTTGGACAAGTTTGGACCTCAGTTTCTTCATCTTCTAAATGATAAGGTTAGAGGAGATGACCTCAGAGATCCCTTCCATTCACCTCTAAAGCCTAGAAAAAGAAAAGCAACTAGTACAGGGTTATTAGCAGATAATAATAAGCTAACATTTGTATAGCACTTTAAAATCTGCTAGGCACTTTACATATATTATCATACTTTATCCTCACCACAACCTAGAGACTAAGGCACAATTATTATCCCCATTTTTGAGTTGAGGAACTGAGGCCGATGAGGTTAAGTGATTTTAGTTCTGAGACAAATAAGACTCTTGGTTTCCTGCCTTCAAGTCTAGAGCTCTATATAGAATGAAAACCCCAAAATGAAATCAGAAAACAAAGAAAACTTTAAGGATTGTGAGTCCTTGAAAATGAAACAGCAGTATCCCTAACCTCATTGAGGGGATTTCTTTGCCAGCTGGGTCTCTTTTTTTTTAAATATAATTTTCTTCTGCTTTTTTCCAAAAAAAGAGCCCCATGAAATGAGCAGACACTTTAAAAAAGCAAAGGATAAAAGATAAGGCAGGATTTAAATGATTGTGATTAAGGGTCTAGGATCCTTTCTCTTAAAGGTTTAATCTTTTCTGTGGCCTGTGGTTCAGCCGGAACTAAAATTAGGGCTGGGCCGTCGAATTAACTGACCAACTAACCAGCTAACCAACCCTCTCCCTCTTCCCCTCCCCTTCTCACCCCCAATTAATCCTCTTTCTACTTCTTACCATTAATGACCACGGTGTGCCCCAGGGTGGGGGTGAGGCTGTCAGCCAATGTGGATTTTTAACTGACTCTACAGGTGAATGGCATTGACAGTAACAATGACCATTTGAGAAACTGATCTCTGTGGTGAGGCCCTTTTTAGAGAAGGCCTTGAGAGCAAGGCCACTTAACGCAGGTGGAATTGATCTTGTTCCAGGTTAGTTAGCTTGTTACCACAGGCAGCCCTCAACAGAAGCTCCGGTAGGTTGACACCTAGAACGAGAGAGCCCGAGGACGCTGTTGCCTGGTGAGGGCACAGAGTCCGGGGGCTGGGGGCAGCGCCTCTGCTAGGGAGTGAGGAAGGAAATCAGAAGTGCTGAATAAGCCTTTGGGGTGTGTGCCGGGAGTGGAGAAATCGAAACTTAGGAGTGGGTTTTTCCTGGCCGCTTTCGTTTTTCCCTCAAGAGCCAGCCGCCAGCTGCCTTGGAGCCCTGTTCCCCGACGGCTGCACGAACTGCGGGCTGGAGCGCTGCGCCCCTGCCCTCCCCCGAGACCCACTGACCATGCACAGCCGAACCAGGGTTCCTTTCTCCCAGCCTGCTTTCTCCTCTCCTGCTGCTTGGGACACAGCTGGGAGGCGGCCGGAGCTGGGCTTGCCGCAAGGCCGGAGGCTGGGTCCTGGTGCTTCCCAGGAAGAGCCGTCGCTGGAGAGCTCCGGAGCTGGACACCCGACCCAAGAGCAGTAAGTCCTAAGTGAGCCGCATACGCTGGAGGCGGTACCTCCTCTCTGCCTGCTTAGGTTTTACCCTCATAGGCAGTTGGCCACGTCTGGGAAGTTTAGTCTTTTTAAAACACCGGTGTGAATCCAAACAAATTACAAGTTCATTGCAAGTCACTTAACCTCCTTGGTCCTCAGTTTCCCCTTCGTAAATAAGGGAGTTGAACTAGATGGCCTCTGAGATTCCAGACAGCTCTTGCTTTAAGAGCCTGCTGGATCACAAAACTTCATAGAACACTCTATTTGCCCCCCTCCCCTTTTCAATTGAGGGAGCATCTCTTCTCCCTAACTCAGTTCTTTAAAAAGTCACTGAACTGCACCTCAGGTGAACAGCCAGCCACCAGTGAAAGACAAGGGCTGTAGGTGGGTAGCATGTCTATAAAGGATTTTCTGTGTAAATAGAGGCGATGTGCCAAAGCTGAAACCTAACCTGACCGAGTAAATACAGTGAAACTTTTTTTTTTTTTAGCAATATCTCAAAGTACTTTGTACATAGTAGGCACTTTATGAGTTTGACCCCTAGGGACAGATTGAAGGGTGTGGGTTAGGGAGAGAAGAAAGAAATACATATGAGGGTCTAAAACCACAAAATCGGGTGAAAGTAATCCCTTCCTCAAATTTCTTATAACTCCTGCCCATATCTCTCCTTGGTATTTATCTTACTGTCCCCTTTCTGGGAGTGGATTCTGAGCTGTATTGCCTTGCACCTAGTTAACGCCTTCCTCCAGAAATCTTTTACAACCCAGCTAAACAGCTAAGTAATTCGCTTTCAAATGCTTAGAGGACTGGTAGGGAAGAATTTACCTTTTTTTGCTTGGCCCCAGAAAACAAAAGCAAGACCAACCCATAGAAATGAATGGGAATCAATCAGTCTTTATCTGAGTAGAAAGAAGGACCTGCCAACAATCAGAATGAGTTTTGGGGTTTCCTGAACTTAGAGGTGTTCAAGGAGAGGTTTCATAACTAGTTTATTTCTTAGTAGTAATAAAACAGTGTGGTCCAACAGGATAGAGAAAACTGGACAATTATTTTAAGATTCTGTTTTGCTCAATCTTGATTTTTCTGTCCTTATATTAGAGGCAGTGGTGTGGAGTGGTGGATAGAGAGCTAGCCTCTTGGGTTCAAGTCCTTCCTGACACATATTGGCTATGTGACTTTGGGGAAGTCACTTAATTTACCCGTGCTCTAAGCAATTCTCTCACACTGTAGGGTGAGAGCAGGTGTTATAAAGTGCAGAACAGGCATTTACCTGTATGAGTACAGGGAGTTTCCTTAGTAGGGAGTTTCCTATGCCGCTGAAATCACAGTCCTGTCCCTATTTCCTCTAGGGGATAAATGAGTGCTTTTGAGTGAGGTGACATGCAATTTAATCAAAAGCAAAAACCTGGGCAGATTTAACTGCTAATACTTATTAGGTGTTCTTGAATGAAAGGCTAAGAGCTTTTTTTAGAAGAAAAATTACATGTAATATGCATATATATAATGAATATTCAGCTACGGGCCTGCGACCTGTTAGGAATAAGTGCTGAGGATTCTAGATTTGTGAGTTACTGAAAATTAATGAGGTCTTACTGTTGCATGACTTCTATTATCCCGAGGACAAGAGAAATGTAGCAATCCCTATTTGAAATTACCCAGATCACCCTTCAAAGGGAATCCTAAACTGGATAATTTTCAAAGTTCGGGTATGTGTGAATTTCTTCAAAAAGCACAGGATGAAATCAAAAGGACTGTTTACTGGCCACCAGGTCGTATGTGTTTCTTAGCAACCTGTCTTCAGCTTTCAAGTGTCTAGAAGTTTCTGATGGGAGGGGGAAGTGACAACAGAGCTCTTTGCAAGGGTCTTTAATTACAGCCACCTTTTGGAAAGCAGAGAAGGGTACAATCCCATGCTATTGCCATTTAAAGCCTACTCCCAACTGTGTGAAGGGAGGATTGATGCCATTTCCCCATGGTGTAAATTGTACTGCTCTGATAAGACAGGCTCACCTGTACCCAAGGGCCCATCAACCCCAAACAGCCAATGTTTGTGGATACTCCATCCTTTCAGCTCCATCCCCTCTTCCGATCCTAATCTTCAAGTACCAGAAGGTATGTGTCATGTCAACCCTAAGTCACTCATTCTGACTACCATTAGTAAGTACAGAGTGAGATTGGCCGATTAGAGGGTTCAAGGTCAACAACTTGTGTCAACACATGCCTCATTGCCTGGTCTGCTGTGCAGTTGTGAATAGATCAAGTCTGACATGTTGTAGCTTCATTATTGTTCTCTTGGGACACCTAGAGAAGAGGTAGGCGGTGGTTTGTCCCCATCTTAAAGTCCTACAGAGAAGAACCTGACCATGCTTTACCAGTCAAACCCTACAATTGCACTTTGTTCTTTACTACTCTGTGGAATGTGGCCTTTTGTTCGTGGTTGCTATAAAAATGTAAGTTCTGACAGATTTTTGGTTAGTAGAAGAAACTGTTTTTTGGTTCTTTTTTCTCATTCCCATCCACAGAATTTAGTCACAGCTTCTAGCTTTCAGCTTCAAGTGAGGATGTGATAATTCCAGGTTCCCTGGGGGGAGAGAGAGACTCTGGGAAGAGGTTGGCATGTAGAGAAACCAGTACCTCCATAATGAATTTATTCACAGTTTATCCCACTAGAGACTTGAGGGAATTTCCCCTTGGGTGAGATTGGGGACTTTCACTCCTCTGACTGAGCTGAGCTATTTTCTTCCCTGAGGAAGAACTCATTGACTTTGTATCTTGTTTGTTATGTTCTAATCAGTATAATTTATCTGACTTCTGATTGTAAACTTTTTTAAAGAACTTAATAAATTTGTCTCTGACAGACTCATACCAAACAAGCAGAGAATGGTGTTTTTCTCTCATAGAATGTATATGTTCCAGCTTCTAGGTGGTGGAGTGGATGGAGTGCTGGGCCTGGAGTCAGGGATTTATCTTCCTGAGTTCAAATCTGGCCACAGACACTTATTAACTGTGTGACCCTGTACAAGTCACTTAATCCTATGGCCTCAGTTTTCCTCATCTGTAAAATGAGCTGGAGAAGGAAATGGCAAACCATTCCAGTATCTTTGCCAAGAAAACCCAAAATGGTGTCACGAAGATTCAGACATGACTGAAAAATGACTTGACAACAACAACAACAAATGTGCGTTATATGTCATGCCCAATAGAATATAAGCTCCTTGAGGGCAGGAACTTCTCACTTGTCTCTGAATCCCCAGCACCTGGCACATAGCACTTAATAAATGCTTGCTTATTAAAATCATCTTTGTCAGTTGGATTTGGGTCAGGTGGAATCTCGATTGTTTTTAAGATCTATTTTTCTGATTATTAAATCTTTTTTACATGATGGTTTTTCACCTTTCAGGAGTTGCCTATTTAATCAAGAATTGCTTATCTATTATCCAATTATCCATTAGATAATTGCTCTTATTCTGAAATTTGTGTCAGTTTCTTATATTCTTTCTTTCTTCTTCTTCTTCTTTTTTTTTTTTTTTTGTTAGACAATGGGGTTAAGTGACTTGCCCGGGGTCACACAGCTAGTAAGTGTTATGTGTCTGAGGTTGGATTTGAACTGGGGTCCTCCTGAATCCAGGGCCGGTGCTCTATCCACTGCACCACTTAGCTGCCCCTTCTTATATTCTTTATATGTCAGACTTTTATTTGACAAATAGAATCCACTTTTCAAATTTCTTTCCATATTCTGGAAGCATTGTTTTTTGTTGTGCTATTTTTATCTCCTAAAATTTCTTCTGGTCAAAAGATAAATTCTTAAAACTATGATTTGGGGAAAATTTATCCCCTCTTCACCATTGTACAAGATAATAAATTATTCATTTTGTTATATATGCATATTAATAATATCTAGATTGTTGATCCATTTGCTACCTATTTTGATTTGTTTCCGTTATTTTGTCAGGGTGTTATCTAGCCTGTACAATAATTATTTTGGAATGAGTGTTATAATTCTAGGTTTAGCAAACACTAAACCACTATGCAATATTTCTCTTTCCATCTTTTTCTTAATTTCCCTTGATGTTCTTGATCTTTTGTCATTTTATATGAATTTTTTTTTAGTTCTATGGAATATGCCATTGACTTTTGATCTGTATAATCAAACCTAGAATTGATTTGGGAAGTATTATCTTTGTTTGCTGCAGCTGGTGGACCCCCACAAAAGATATCCTAAGTTCAAGACACTTTGAGTTAGCACCCATTCCTCCCCCTGGTATTTACTTTTACCTGTCAGCCAGATAAGCAATTAATTTACACGAGAAATGCCATAGCAAATAAAGTGACAAGACTTCACACAGGTGGGACAAATTTCCTCACAGGTTAACATACCACCATTGAGAAAGGGTACATTTGTAGAGAACACATGTAACCAGGAAACATACTTAGAAGGCACGTCACCAAGGGACATAGGTGAATAGTAATACTGGCTAGAATTTAGAGTGTGCTTTAAGATTTGCCAGCAACTTTGGGAGGTGAAACTGAGGCAGATAGAGGTTATGTGATTACCCCAGGGTTACACAGCAAGTGTGATAGTGAATTCAAATTTGGATCTTCCTGACTCCCTCCCCTGTGCTATCTAGTTGGCTATATGAAAAGATTTACATCACATGTCCATTTAGAAAGGATAGGTGGTGCAGTGGATAGAGCACTGGCCATGGACTCAGGAGGACCTGAGTTCAAATCCAGCCTCAGACACATAACACTAGCTGTGTGACTGTGGGCAAGTCACTTAACTCCATTGCCTAGCCAAAAAGAAAAAAAGAAGAAGTGAAACTAGAAAGGATACAAATGTAGGGGAAAACGTGGCCAGGGCAAAGCTGCAATTCTAATCTTACTCCTTTGATCACTTATCAATTGGAAAATAGCTCTGATGAATTTGTATCAGTGCTTTTTACATTCTAGAAATCTACATTTATCCATGCTTACTAAAATTGTTC